TTTCTGGGAAGAGAGAGGGACTCAGGATGAATCTAGGTGTGTGAGAAACACCAGCAAGACACTGAAGAAGTCAGACACACTGTACAGAGGACAGTAGCTGAGCCATGTAGCAATACATAGCTTAATAGGCAAGGTTGATTTAGGTTATAAGCGCTAGTTGGGAAAAAGCCTCAGCTAAGGCCAAGCTTTACTAATTAATAATAAGTCTTCATGTTGTTATTTGTGACCTGGAATCCCAAAGTCTGGCTTCATCTTTGGGCTGGAAAGATGGCTCAATGGGATAAACACTTGCCACCAAGCCTGAAAACCTAAATTTGAACCCTGGGACCCACGTGGCAGAAGGAGGAAATTACTCCCACAAGTGTCTTCTGTAGGCGGAGTTTCTCTGTATCTCAACTGCCGCTCCCAAATAACCAACACGGAGACTTAAGATTACTTAAAAGTCTTTGTTGGAGTATCCATAAGGCTGGATCATCTCAGCCTCACTTGAAACTGTTCTGGATGCTGGATTCTGAGGATACTGTTAACAGGGGCATTTTTAAATGCTGGATCACCTGAGATATCCATTTTCATTGGTGTTTGGTCCCCTTGTTCTGAAAACACATAAAGAAAATATACAAGTATAGAATATGAGGTGTGCACAAGTCAGTTAAAGATGATTCTTTTTGTTTGATCAGGTAAAACATACATCACATGTCTTATAACTCTCCTAAGTTTATTTCTTTATGTTTGCAGCCAGGATTTTCAGGGGCTCTTTCTCTATCAAACCTGACTATCTTTAACCTTGAACAAATCCCTAGCCTTTCATTTTCTGTGGAAATAAAAGTATAACCTCTCCCCAAAAGCAACACACCCTCTGACTTCCATTTTGAAGACAAAATATTTTTAAGTATATGTAGGATTGTTTAGTCCAGCAGTTTTCATGATCCAATGTGTTTTAGTAGCTGTCATTTCTTTATTGGAAATCAGAAAGAGGTAAAGACAATACAATAACATACAGAATCCAGACCCCCTGCGCATTATCCATCTTCATGTGGCTTACGTTTTTTTCTCTATTCTTTTTTTAAGGACTTTATTATTTTTAAACTTTTCTTAATCTATAAATGTCTCTACCCTTTCTCTTTTCTCTACCAAGTCTATGTATATTTTTTTAAAACACCATAACCCTTTTAGAGTTTTTTTTCCCATCTGGATCAGTCTTAACTGAGCATCAGAAAACTTTTAGGTCTGCATGAGCAAAACCCCAAACCCACCATGCAGCACGCTGGCAGAGCTCAGCCTGGTGGCTCAAGTTTACAAGCATTGGCTGGGAGACATGTTTCTGCCTGCTGGAGAGACTGTTGGAACTCACCATGTGGCTTAGTTCATGGCCTGTTAGTGACTGTCAGGAGACATGTCTCTGTACTACGGCTAGCATGAGAGACACAGGACTAGGAAGCCATGTTTGGCTCTATTTTGTGTGTTTAGAAAATTTTTAAAGCTTTCTCAGATCTTATGCAAATGTAGGTTCCAACATTTGTAGGTGAAGTTTCTCTGTGTTTTGGCAGCCGTTCCCAAATAACCAATATGGAGGTTTAACATTAATTGTAAATGCTCAGGCTGGTTACTAGCTAACTCTAACATTTTAAAGTAACCCATATTTCTTTTCTGCCCTCTGCTACGTGGCTGTACCTTCTTTGTTCATCTTGCTTCTCTCATGACTCCTTCTTCTTCCCAGTATCCTCTATGTCTTGCTGCCCTACCTAGACCTTCTCCCTACCTACTGACAAGTCAGCTCTTTCATTATACTAATCAGGAGGCACCTTAACAAAGACACATCTTCACAGTGTACAAAAAGATTATTCCATAATAGTCTTTTGATTTTGATATTAGTAGTTTGGGCTACTTGGTCTTTCTCTGCTTTTTAAGCATATAGGTCATCTATGGTGTCATTCACCCATCTAGTAGTTAACTTTTGTGTTTGTCCATTTTTGATTACTATTATGAGAACCTGAGACTTTCTGAGGAACATTGATTTGTTTAGCTTAGTTTTACAGACTGAAAGTCATGGACTGGGCCAATCATTGTGATTGATATTCACAGTGGCAGACGTGGGGGGGGCAGGGAAGAGAACTGCTTCACTCCTTTCTATGGTCATTCCATTAATGACCCCTCCCTATTAGGCTCCATCTCTTAAAGTCCACTCCTTCTTGACATCACTACACTAGGGACTAAGCTTCCAACACTTGAGCCTTTGGGAACACACCCAAACAATATCCAAACTATAGAAACTTCTCCAAACTCTGACTTTCACTACCTAACTCTCATCGATAAAATATGCACCTAGTTCCTCCCATGTATGATTTTCATTCCAAACTCATAACAGCACAGACACGTGAGTGTATCTATTTTTCTTCTCCCGGAATCGTCTAAGAAAACACAGAACACACAGGAGTCTCTAATACCAGAGAGTTTGTGTTGTTACACGAAGTTGACAAACCCTAACGGCTCCTCAAGAGGAGTCACTGTTCAACATAAGGTCTGTGACATCTAGGAGCACAGTAACTTATTACACACACACACACACACACCATGGGACAGCAAAGTCTAAAGGGAATGAATGAAAGAGACCTGCCTTGTCCTTGGGCCCTTTATGGCTGAAGTGACAGAGAGATGGGAAATTTGAGGACGTGGAACCATGGAGGACGAGCTGGATAGCAGATGAAGGAATTGCTGAAGAAGGACAAAGACAGAGATGTAAGAACCCAAGGATGGGGTCTGGAAGAACAGACCTCCCTTGGCCAAAGCGCAGGAACACGTTAGAGTGTTAAAGAGAAATTACGGTAGGAATGCAAGGCTGACACCAGAGCCAGGCAAGGCAGCAGAGTGTGGGTCGTAGGTGCCACTCGGAGTCCTCTGCACTCTGCCTGTCAGGCACATCCCATGAGCCAGCACTTGTTTGTTTCCGGCCTCTTTAAGTTAGCCTGCCAAAAGTTTTGTTTGAGAAATAGCAATTTTGGAAGTTTTGTAAGAGAGTTTCATGCTTACTGTAAAAGGCATTGGGAAATGGAGTGAAAGGTATCAAGCAAGTAAAAATCATTCCAAATCCTTACATCCTAACCATTGTAATGCTGACATTTCCCGCCTCATTTTGTTTCTGTTCCTACCTGGGCTTCCTGGCCTAACCATTCGAATACTCCCCTACAGTAGAAGCATTTCTCTGAAAGCACAGGATTGTAGCAGGAATGCATGGCCTATTTCCCAATTTTCCTGATGGTGAACTCATCAGTTGCTCCTATTTATTTTGTGTTAAATAAATTTGCCATTCATGGTGGTTCACACCTTTAGTCCTCGGCACTTGGGAGACAGAGGATCTTGGTGAGTTCAAGGCCGCCAAGGCTATGTAGTAAGACCCTGCCTCAAAAATAGATAGATAGATAGATAGATAGATAGATAGATAGATAGATAGATAAGGTTCTTTGTTGATGGACAAGAACCCCCCCTCCATTTACAGTGTATTCTTTGAAGTACTTCAAGGACAAAATTTCATTTAATCCTTACAATAAGCACGAGTATGTCAATATAAGCTAATATCCCTATTTTACAGATAAGCAAGTTACAAGAAAGACTAGGCATCTTAGACAAAATAGCAATACCCTAAACATCAAACCAAAGAAGAAACATCAAATTAGAAGCAATCGAGCTCTCCTTAAAACTTAGTGTCCTTGGAAAAACGGGCCCCAAACTGTAAATATCAAGATAACACCAGGAAATTATTTCAAAAAAATAAATGTCTCTTTTTTGTTTTTCACAAACACTCTGATGTGCAGATGTAAAATGAGTTTATAACTTAACAGGCAGTAAGTAGCAGCAACTTTCTTGAAGCTTTTTGTAAGGACAATGAATGTCCTGGGGAGGTGCTACACCAAATTAGTTCCCCGGCACCTCTGTGCAGGAGCTGAAATTACCATGAAACTATAGTGGCAAGATGCAGACTTGTGTTGCTTCATGTAGCTATTGAGTAGCACCATCCAGCCCTGATGTTATGGGCTCTGCTAAGCTAAGCATTCTACACAGACCACCTTCTTCCTTTTTCCATAAATGAGTTGTTAAAAAAGCATTGTGAGGGGCAGAGTAGCAGTTGTTGGTTCTTTGGCAGAAGCAAATCCTATATATCTTAGGGTAAAACTATACCAAAGGCCTTGTTTTTATCCCTGTGTCCTTTGGTTCACAATGTCCTTATTGCTGGCTCTTCATAAAATACTGACTGGTTAGTTAGGAGACCTCTATGACAGAGGGAGCTCCATTCTTACAAGAACGAGTCCTATTTCAGATCATATGGTCAAGCATACCTGTGTGGCATGCTAACATCTTTAGACTCATGTGTCTCCATACCTGACAGTTCCGCTGAGAGAGTGGAGCAAGCCCATTGAAAAAAATGATCCTGTGTGTGTGTGTGTGTGTGCGCGTGCGCGTGCCCAAGAGCGCACATGCAGTCTTTTATACTTACAGAAGGCTTATCAAACCCTTTCCAGAAGAGAGCTGGCAAAGAATCGTGAAGACGAGAAACAATGGGAGGTATTTTGAAAGCTGGGACAGTATTGTGGAAGGATGTTGAGTCATGTTATATAAATGGTTGGTCATTGGAAGTTTCAGTTTAAAATTCCCAAATGAACCACAGATTGTAAGGTGATAGTGAGAAGCACCTGAGATAGCCCCTGTTGTCCATCTGTATTTATCTGTCTGTCTGTCTGTCTGTCTGTCTGTCTGTCTGTCTGTCTGTCTATCTATCTATCTATCTATCTATCTATCTATCCATCCATCCATCCATCCATCCATCCATCCATCTATCTTTGTCCCAAATTCAAAAATGGGTGAGTCTGTGTCTATAGCTACCAAAAGGAAAGCAGAAACAGGGAGTTTGGAATTCAATGTGATGGTCTCACAATCGTTCTTTATCCCCCTCCCCTTGGGAATGTTCCATTTTGACATAATAACAAAATCTGTTTATGTTTGCAAAGGACTAGCTACAGATCCTGCTTATGGAGGAAAGCTCAGACCTGGATTTAATGAATCATCTAAAAAAAATTAACTCCTAGAGGCCAAGTAAGAACAAAGCTACATGTTCCCTAACCCTAACCTTAACCCTAACCCTAACCCTAAACCCTAACCCTAATCCTAAACCCTAACCCTAACCCTAATCCTCTAACTCCCTGGTCATAGAATAGTGTGTAGGGTCCAGTGAGTGAACCTCTGACGGAAAGGGCCTAGAGAGAACAAGACCTGAGGGGAACTGGCAATGTATTCTCTTGAAGTCCAGTACACCCTCAAGTTTCATTCTTCAGGTACCGGCTGCCTCTTTCTTTTGAAGTAGTATTTCTCCCTGGCCTGGAATGCAGCAGATAACTAAGCTAGGTGGCTATTGAACGCCAGAGACATGCCCATCTCTGCCTCCCTAGCACTGGGATTAGAAACACACTTCACCATACCCTGCCTAAAAAGAAAGAAAAAAACAAGCACTTTACTGAGCTTTTTAAATATATTGACTAGATAGGAAAGGAATACTTCTTCCCTTTGACCAGGAAGCTATTGATGTTTCCATTTTTTACAAATACACTTCCCCCCTAAAGAGGGTATTTCATCGCTTCTGGTCCTTTTGCTTATGCTCACATTCATGGACTCCTACATCTCCATCCTTGATAGCTCTGCTGGGTATGCACTGTAACTTAAGAGACAAGGTATATCATGGTATGAAGGCTTGCATGGAGACTAAGTAATCACTCTTCATGGGACTTCAAAATCTGGAGGCCCTGGATACCTAACATTTTCCATGTAGACACTGAGGTAATGCTTGTGTTCTTTCTTCTGTCCTCAGACTGGCTTCCTGTACCTCGGTGGCCTGGATGGTCAGGCACCCAGAAACACCTACCACAGAAGGCCTGAAATGTCTGTTCTCCTCTGGCATCGTCAAAAGTTATTAAATTTATCAGCCTATATCATAATGTCTGGTTTAAAGACCCAAAGATTTGCCTGAAGTGTCCTTAAAGCATTAAAGAACAAAAATATGGTTTTGATATTTATATCTTTTTGTGAACTAGTCCTTGGAGAACTACAGTTATCTGCTATAACATTAGGTTTTAACACACTTCATTCTATGTACAAACCATGACATCCCAGTTTTGCCATTTGTATCTATTAAACTATGATTAGTAATTATCCCTGTTTATTTTTAATGCTATGAATTGTTTAGATGTATTTCATGTGTGTGATGTGTATTTAAATTGTATACAGTGTGTATATACACCACATGCATGCTTAGGGCCTGTAGAAGTCAGAAGAGAGTGTCCGATCTCCTGGAACTGGAGTTACAGGCATTAGTGAGCAATCAACCAAACGCAGGTCCTCTCCAAGAACAGCAAGTGGGCCATCTCTCCAGCCCCCACCCCATTCTTACTTTATACATTCCTCTGTATATATACCATATAGAACTGTCTAGGATAGGCCAGTCCACCAAACACTATCTGCTCCCATATATGTATACTCATTATGTATGTAGGCAGGTCTCAAATTGGTAGAGGTCTGTCTGCCTCTACCTCCCAAGTGCTGGGATTGAAGATCTGTGCCACCATGTACAGCCCCAGACTATATTTCTAGGAGGGGGGTTGAAGATACTTTGAGAAAGAAGGCTCTATAGCAGTGGTTCTTGACCTCTCTAATTCTGTGACCTTTTAATACAGTTCCTCATGTTGCGGTGGCCCCCAACCATAAATTATTTTCATTGCTGCTCCATAACTGTAATTTTGACAGTTATGAATCATCATGTAAATATCTGTGTTTTTCAATGGTTTCTGTGTGTCCTCACCACAGGTTGAGAACCGCAGCTCTGAGGGCTTTGTATACGTTCTCCAATCACAGCTAACCCTGAAGCCTCCTATTCATGTTTTTATCATAGCTTTGTTTACACAGTTGTGTTAGAGGTGAGTCAATTCTTCCTTCTCTTTGGAGTCTTGAGGGTCAGGAAACATCCTTTTGTAGAGTTATTTACATTTAGTTCATACTTTTTAGTTCAAGAACATAATCTTAACCAGGGACTTTAATTGGGAGAATTAAGATGTGTTCTCTGTCAACATTTTAGCAAAAGAATCCCAGGCTACTCCCATTGCCGGTGCAGCACACTTAAATGCTAATGATCTGGGCCATGGGGACCAAATGCCATTGTTTCATGTACAGGAAAATCAAGTGTTTTCTGCAATCGACCGAAGACTGTAGTAGACTATGTAAAGGTATTTGTGGAAGTGTCTGTGACCAGACCTTGGCTGAGGTTAGCTATTGTTTGGGGAGACTGCTTTCCCACCCAGAGGAAGGGGGGACTGTGGGAACTAAGATATCCCAGAGCAGTGAATTCGATCCCGTGAGGTTATCTCACCCCCTCATTGTCCACTCTGGGTCAACTGTGGCTTACAGACCCTGGTCTCATGGCTGATCCCTAAGTATAAGCTTCCCAGATATAGTCCCTGGATTCAGCCCAGCTTCACCTTGGGCTTCTTGACAAGACTTTTTCCATGTACAAATGAACTCAAGGCTTCCCTTACTCTCGCCCCCCTCCCATTTAGAGCTAACACACACATACAAAGACAACACACATACAGAGAGGCGGGGGGGGGGGTGGTGGTGAGAGCTGTCGTATCTAGGGGATATGTTTTCTGAAGAAATATCAATAATAATAAGTGACTTCCTAAAAGGTACCAGAAAGTAATTGTAAACACTGTTGTGAAACTCAATCAGGGTAACATGGGAGAGATCACTCTGGTAGCTACACATCAGAAAAAAACATATGACACTGTAAGACTCAGTGCTGAGAATGTGACCAAAGCTTATAGACAAGAATTCTTAAGTCATAATTTACTCAAAAGAGGCAAAAGTTCTGATGGGTGCTGATGCTGAAAAGTAGTTTCTGAAGAGGCAATGACTAATGACCCAGGAAGGTTTTCTATATCAATGGGAGTATAGCCCATGTTGATGCCGGTGTCGCTAAATGAAAAAATTCAAGCCGGAGTGCTAGATGCTTAACGTTTATTATATTTAGGATACACATACGTTGGGAAAGACTTGTCTCAAGACGAAGTACAGAGTCTTCCAAGGTTAGGTTTTACACTTTCAAAATCGATTAACAAGATATCACAAGGGAGATTACAAGTACAGTTACATTGCAAAACAGGTTTTACACTTTCAAAATCGATTAACAAGATATCACAAGGGAGATTACAAGTACAGTTACATTGCAAAACGCAATCCTCTTGGGATACAAACTAACGGCTTAAACTAGTCAACTTACAGATACATTTTTCTATTGGTGACTACAAACAACTTCAGCAGCTCAAGTAGTACTTTAAGCTAGGCAAAGAAGATTCTTATCTAATACACTTATTTTTTTAATTCCAGTATATTTTCTTAAATTCCTGATAAAAGCACAATGAGCATTAGAGTCAGGGAAACACTTTTGATGGATACCTCGATTATTTCACCACTTGGCTACACGGTGATTTTTTTTTTATTTTTTTCCTGTCAGATATAACTGACAACCAGTTTTGTCTTTAAGATAAATGAAGTCATAACTCACATTTCAACAACATCACATGAAAAATATTGAAACTACACTACAAATTCACTTTAAAATTGAAGAAATCGATAGCTTCACAAAGAACTTCTTCTACAAACTACAAAGTAGGCTACGAGAAGAGTAAACTACATCCAACCCTAAAGGTAGACGAGTCTCTGAAAACACACACACACACACACACACACACACACACACACACACACGCACGCACACACACACAGCCTAGTTGTAAATGCCATACCAAGATTTACCCCCTTCTCTTAAAAACATCTTCCAAGGTGGAGAAACCCAAGCCTTTCCAACATGTCCTTCCTAGGCAGTGCTACACACAAAGTTACTTAGTTAACATCATTACAATTAAATTCAACACGATAAAACATTTACAAAATAGCAGCTGTCGTTTTGGATCTTGGTTGTGATTACATGATAATAATATGAGGATATAATATGAGGATAATAATATGATAATATTTGCAGTTCAACTACAGAGTACACACGCACTCACTAAGTTTGGTACAAAGCATGAATACTAAGGATATATATTGGCACAATGCATGCAGTTAAGAGTATTCTTTTTCTCAAGCTAGTAATTGCGAGTAAGCTAAAGCCCCAATCCTGTTTTCCAACGCTTCCCTCAAACTGTAATGGATGTTTCGAACTGTAACTGATGCTTACAACATCTTCCACAAGGAAAACACCTCCTAAAAATCAATTTATCTGAAAGCGTGATGGAAATGGGGCAGTATAGCAGTGTTGGTGCCAGTTGTGAAAACGTGAGGGATAGGGGGTAAAGGGAGCTGGCCCAGATTCACAGCACCCACTGCTATTTGGGCTTCTTGTGGCTGCGGCTGAGGCAGCGGCTGTGGCATTGGCTGCGGCAGCGGCTGTGGCATTGGCTGCGGCAGTGGCATTGGCTGCAGCTGTGGTGGCTGCGGGATTGGCTGCAGCTGTGGTGGCGGCAGCATTGGTGGTGGTTGTGGTATTGGCTGTGGCATTGGCTGTGGCATTGGCTGCAGCTGCATTGGCTGCAGCTGCATTGGCTGTGCCATTGGCTGCAGCATTGGCTGCAGCTGTGGCGGCTGTGCCTGCGGCTGCAGCTGTGGCTGCGGCTGCATCTGAGGCTGCATCTGTGGCTGCTGCTGAGGCTGCATCTGTGGCTGCTGCTGAGGCTGCATTTGTGGGTGCTGCTGAGGCTGCATTTGTGGGTGCTGCTGAGGCTGCAGCTGTGGCTGCTGCTGAGGCTGCAGTGGCAGCGGTGGTGGTGGAGGCGGCAGCAGTGGTACCTGCTGCTGCGCCAGACAAGTAATCCTAGGGGTTAGTGGCTCCCCAGGCCCCATAGGGATGGTGTTACTCACAAAACCATTCTGGGGGGGAGGAGGGGGGATCTGCCAAAACCCCAACACAGAAGAAATCTCCAGAGAGGCAGGAATCGCTATGTTCACAGCATCTACCACCAGCTCTTTGGGAAGAGTGACTTTCCCAATACTCTCCTTAGCCATCTCAAAACACGGATTGAGTTTGAGAGGCGACTGAGGCTCTTGCAGAGGCAATTCCTCAAAGAAACTCATGTTGCAAAAGCTTTTGGTATCTGCCTTAATTGGCAGGCCTGCAAGTGGAGCAAATGAGGTAGACCCAGGACTGAACTTGTGTTCCTGAAGGGTTTGGGGAGGAGAGGAGGGGACTACCCCAGGGTGCAGAGTAATAAGCTGCTCTGGCATTGGTGGCATAGGCTGAGTGACCTGTTCTGGGGGAGCAAGCACTAGACCATGAACCTCGGGTGGCAAGCCACCTGCAAGCCCATTCTGGGCGGGCACCCCTAACTGGAAAGGAGGCATGGCAGCAGCCTTCAGCTGGAATGGAGGTGGCGCAATGGTATGAAAGGTGCTCAGATACTCCCCTGCCTGCACACTCTCTTGCATCAGCTCCTGTGAGTGGGTCTTCTTGGTGTGACGGGTGAGGTGGTCTTTGCGCCCAAATCGCTGGGCACAGAACTGACACAGGAAGTCCTTGCATCCTGTGTGGACCACCAGGTGGCGACGCACATCCTTCCGGGTGTAGAAGCATCTCTCGCAATGGTCGCACTGATGCTTCTTCTCCCTGGTCGCATGGTGGGACTTTTCTTCCGCGTGAGACTTGAGGTGGACCAGCAGGACCTCGGTGCTCCCCAGCTCCAGAGCGCAGACGCCGCAGGTGAGATCCCCGCTGCTGGCCGAATGCAGGGCCAGGTGCCTCTTGTAGCCCAGCATGGTGTGGTACTTCTTGCCACACTCCTCGCAGACGTAGGCGATCTTGTTGGGGTCGTGGGTCAGCAGATGATTCTTCAGGTGATCCTTCCGGTTGAAGGTCTTCTCGCAGTGAGCACACTGATGAGCCTTCTGCGGTGAGTGTGTGGCCATGTGCCTGGAAGCAGAAAAGGGGGTGGGGCGGGGGACAGTTCACAACAGAATTATTTTATGAATGAAAGCAGGGAGACAACACTGTCAAGAAGTGACTAGATATTTTCTTAAGGTCTTACTGGCCTGTTAGCTTATAAACTACCCTGCTGAACTTTCCAAATGCACACATTTTATCATTTAAAAAGGCAAGAATTACTAAAAGCCAGATTCAGCTTTATACCTGCAAAAAATAGTGGCAGATTGTTTTCCTGTTATGCACAGATTTTTAAATATATGAGTTTGAGCTATACTTTCCAGGAAGGGGTTAGATAGGTGTTTGATGCTCTTCAGAAAGTTGTGAATCTACCGAATTGGCCCAGGTTCTCTTTGTACAGAGTTCTTGTACTTGGTTGTTTATGCAGGTTGAGATGGTGTCACTATGGTCCCTTCCCTTCACTTGTCTCACAACGCATAACCTACAAGCTTGGGTATGTCCTGTAGTCAACACAAACACGTCAGCTTTGCCCAGCATGTCACAGTAAGATTCCCTGGGAGGTCAGCCTGCCCTGCCAAGTCAGCTTTTCTAGCCCTGGGCCGTCTCTTCCCGTTTATGGTACTGGGACCCCCAGTTAAGCAAATCAGTTATTTTTCTTCTTCAATTGCTGCTTATAAAACAGGTTACGGTGGTTGGGAACTGGATGGATGCTGCCCTGATACCTTTAAGACAAACCTAAGCATCCTGCCATCTCACTACTTTCCAGTTCCTTAAGAGACGTGGACTCTGGCCCAGATGGAGGCCAGGGGGCTGGGGCAGGGGCAGCTACTGTCTCCCCCCCCCTGCCCAGGTCTCCCATAGAACACTGCAGGGTGGTCCCAAGGATGCCAAAGCTACCCTCTGTATTTGAGGAAGGGTGCCTACATGTATGCAAGATGAGTTTAATGCTAAACAGGAAGCCCTTGACACAAAATCAGTGCACATAGTAGCCACTCGATATGGTTACTATGACAACTAGAGAGAAGGGCCTACAACGGGAGAAATTTGAATTTTAAAATACAGAAGCCTTTTCAGTCTTATTTTAAACATCAACTTATATTACATTATCAGTAATAGTGATGTCCTTAAGGTCAGGAGCATAATTTATATCTTCCCTTCCCCTCTTTTAAGTGCCTTCCTCCAGAGTACTCCACAGCAGAATGATAATGGAATGCTGCTACCGCTCATGGGAGGCCAAGTTGCTAATTCTCTCACCTTTGCATTTATGTGTGAGTTGTAGCAAGCTGAAGCTTGAAGGATCATTTTCATGAAGACGACTAGACACAAGCAATACTGAAAGAGGTATACTGACAGTGTTCTCTTCAGTCAGCCAGACTATGGCCTGATTGCACAGTTTCTCTTTCCTGTGGCATTGCTAAAATTCATTGTGGGCAGAACATACACCTTGGTACCACTCACCTCATAGTAGAGAGTGCCTAATTGACACTGGAGAAATAATACATACTATACATCAACTCTCTTTTAAAGGGCTCATCTGAAAACCACTGGTTTGGTATATGGTGGACTCTCCGACAGGCTGAGAAAACGTACATGTGCAAGTCTGGATACCCAAGTGAACTCATCTCGTTAAGGTGTCATCATAATCACAGGAGATAAGGCTTTAAAGAGTCCCTAAAAGGCTAAAATGCACACACCCCCTGCCTTCTTTTCCCCTCCAAGTGAGAGCCTTGAATGCCTGAAGAGACACTTAAAGGTCCCAGTAAAAGCGCACACCTTCAGAAAGCCTCTTACCTCATCAATTTGTATTTAGAGACGAAGGCTTTGCCACACTCCGCCTGTGAGCACTTGAATGGGCGCTCCCTGGAGTGAGAATAATTATGGATGGTGAACTTCTCCAGGGTGAGGAATGACTTGCCACATGATTGACAGCGAAATGGAGCCATGACCTTGGTTTTGCACACCTTCTTTTTTAGATGTGCTGACCAAATGCTGTGCCATTTAAGCACAGACAGAGAGGGGGATAGGGAATCCTACAGCTGGACTCCAGAAGAGACGAGGGGCACGGGAGAGATCCAGGGCAGGAAGGAGATTTTCATCACAATAGCTCGGCGTCCTGAATGGCCGTCTGTGGAGATAAGAGGAAGAGTTTTCTCATACCCGTCATTGGAAAACTGTATCCGCCGCCACCACCACTTTGGAACCAATGACCCACAATCAGTGTGCTTCTCTGCAGTGGTTCAAATAGACCTGACTCACCATCCAGTGGTCTGTCTTTCTGGAGCCCCTGAAACATTCTCCCTCCTAATAAGGCCTGCTATTTTCACAGACCCAAGGTCATCAGCTTCATGGTTTCAGCCCAGTGTGAGACTCCGTTGACTGATTCAGGGGGAAAATAACCAAGACAAAAACAAAGTCTCCCTCTTTGTGCCCTAGTGTGTTACTGGTTCACAATGGCCACCCTTTATTCAAACCATGAGCTTCCCCTCTTCATGCCCAGTTAGCATAAGAGAAGTTGCTGACGACACCTGTTTAAACTCTCAGGGGAATGAGAAGAAATCATTTGTATACACCTCGGTGAATTTGTTTGCAAGATCACTAAGCACAAGGCCGACACTAACAAAAGTGAGGGAAAAAAAGCCTCGCTGAATCTGTGTGCTAAAGAGAGAGAAAGTATTCCTATGGAAACAAGAAACAAGGCTGAGGACTCCAGCAGGAGCTAGAGCCATCGCTCTAGAAAATCATTCCACGTTTCTCAGTGGGTTAGCCAATGATAGCAAATGGCCTTTGGCCTCCTCCAGCTTGTCTTGTCCCTAATCCAGATCCTTATCACCCTTATAGCCCAGTCAGCATCACAGAAACCCTGGGTCTCCTTTCCTGCCCATAAGTTGAGCTGCCTCAAGTGTCTAAGGTAGCATCGTACATAATACAGTAAACCTCTGCTCCACTGAACCGTTCTCAGGTGGGGAGATGCCAACTCTCTAAGCACCAAACTTTTAAACTTTTCGAGTACTGGTTGAGGATCCCAATTCTGAAAAACCACATTGACCCAACAACTGCAGATTTCCGAGTGTTCATTTCTGATGGTACAGGAGGAAAATGTCATTCATACGTGACTCTCCATGAAAAATCACAGTCAAGATACCAGGAACTCGACAACAATCAGAAATTGCCTCAAGCTATTGTATGAGGTGGGGCGAAACTGAAACATGCCTGAATTCCATGCTCAGGCTTGAGTCCCACCCACGGGATATCTCATTATGTTATACGCAAATATTCCAAAGTCAAATGACTCTTGAGCGCTGAAAGTCTGCTCTCCCCAGGCTTCGCATAAGGGATGCGCAACCTGTACTTACATGGGTATCTTTTGTGCATACATCAGCCTTCAGGGCAAGTCTTTAAAACTCAGCTGCAGCCTTTTGGTTATTGCTCTAAGTCTTTAGGCTCCATTATGGTTTCAGTTCTAGGGACATGCATACCCTTAGTGTTCTATTACCAAGTACGACTTTATTTATTTTTGATCATCCAAGACCATCGTAGCATAGGATGGTCTGGAACTCACTATGTTGCCCAGCCTAGCCTTGAACCTGTAGCAGTCTTCATGACTTAGCCTCCAAAATGCTATGATAATTAATGTGAGACATCATACCCTACTCAAGATTAGTTTTATTTAGGTTCCTGCCCTAGCTCTACCCAAAACCCTTTTCTCCCACCCCTCATTCCTGCTTACTATTCTAGTTCATGCCCAAGACCCATCCTTGAGTCATCTCTAACAGTCTTAACTACAGATTCTTTTTAGAAATCCCACCGTGTGTGGAAAGCCATAGTACTAGGCCAGCTAAAAACCACGTTCATTCAGTTGAAATCGCTTGATGTTCTTTCCAGGTCTGTTTTGAAAAGACTAAAGCACACATGGATTATACAGTGTGATATGTCCCTTTCCTCCCTTCCTCCAGAGCTAAAATAGCACGGAGCCCTCATCACATTGGAAGAGCTGGCGGGGAGGGCTCTGTAGTCCCTCACCTACTTGCCAATTCCAGGCACACAGGCTTTCTTCAATTTATCTAAGGAAATTTGTTCTCCCTAGCCCTTGCTTTAGGAGATGAACAGTATACCCAGCATAACTTCGTATGATGTAAGTGTGATACAGTGACTACCCTGCGCTCCAAACAAGCTGCTGGGAAACTGCAATTATCTTAAGTTAGACTTCCACAGCCACCAGCAGCTAGTGGCTACTGTAGGGTGACAAAGGCAGACTCTTAGAGTCTCAAGAGATGAGGGGAAAACCTGGGTTTTCTTGGCATTTGACTATGCTACTGATTAACCCTCAGGTGTCTTGCTAAAATACAAGATAGATTTAGATCAACTATTTCATTAACATTGGAGGAGGGGGAATGAGGTTCCCCAGTTCATACTCCAGCTCTATCCAGTATTCCAACTTCTTGGTTGATATAATCACATAATATGTGTAAATGGCCTGTTGGGGACAATCAGTTGAAACAAAAATGACTATTTCTGATTGCAACCTGGAAAAAAAATCGCAACATGTATAGTATTATAGACTAAGAACCATGCGTCATGGTACAGCTAATGGTTCCTACCCTCACCATTGAGCTGTATGCATGATGGAGCAGTGATACATGTTGTCTCCCTATACCAACAACTACTCATCATGGGAGGAACCAGCATGGACCAGGCATGGTTTGGTTTCGCTGCAGATGTGAACCTTGAGTAACCATATAGCAACACGAGCACAACAGAAAAACAGCATCTCCTTCATTTTTAAAGCTGTCCATTCACACTACAGTTTGCCAGCCCCATTCCCTAGTTACTTCTTCCCTAGATTCCAAATACCAACAGTCATGGACTTAGTCCATGCCATTTCCCCAGGGTCTTCGGAGACTGGGTGCAATCAGAGAAGGTTAGACATGCCTGCGACTTAAGAGTGAGGCAGATTCCTCCAACTTCAAGATCCCCAAGCAGAAGAGCTCCTCACAAAACACTGTTTTCATGACATAATTACAAACTTCCACAAATTTTTTCCCAACAGACGAATTCTTTATGACCAAGGATCAAACCTTACCTATGATAAAAATGCTCACCATGTAGATACATACACCATCTCTCAGCCACCCCTCACCTAATTCACGCTAGCTGTATACTGATAATTCTATTCTTCAGTTAAAACTTGATGTACTTAAAATAGACCGTCCACTATCTAGCAAGCCATCAACCACTATAACAAAGCTAAAGGACTATGGTCCCCCAAGAGACTCTGTCTGTCCTGTGTCTTGACATACAGATCCCATCAGATCTTAAACATGCTACTCTTTCAACACCTGTTACCCAGGAAATATAGTTAAGTCTTCCCCCTAAAACATCTCAGGACTTAATTTTCAGGCCCCTGATTCTAAAAATACTGAGTGAGTGATACAGATCAGCCAGCATGCCAAAGAAGGCTTGGGCCATCTGCTTCATTCTGATCATGCTGATTATTTTAGGGATGAGGGAGGATCAGCTGGAATAAGAACATATATATATATGGTAACAGCCAGGAAGACTGTAGTCCCTGGGGGCTAAGGGTCTACAACAGTTAAGCAGGAGGTCAGAACACAGATGTAGACCCAGGACTTCCCCAGTGCCGAGAAATACAATCATCTAACGGGGAACAACTGTTTTACAGCATTCTCAAAATAAACCAGAACTTCTGGCTCCTGTTTCCATTGTCCCAAGTAATACAAAGTGAGGCCCAATGCAGGGAGGAAATGAGATTTCCATTTTGGTCTTCCACGGTGGATACTCTAGGTTGGCTGGTTGTTTGGGTTTGGTTGGTTTTGAGCACTACTACTTGGAATTTAGAAGGTTCTGATCCAAAATTTCCCTCTCAGCTTCCCAAGACTTGGGACTGTTTTCATGTGTTAAGATCGATTTTGTTTGCTTGTTTGCTTCCTCTTGTAGTCTCAACTTACGAAGGAGCCATTTGTTGAGCAGGACGGGTAAAAACTATGTTTTCCTATCTGGCTTCAGGGTACTTTTCTCAGTTCTTTGAAGGACTGGATATCAAGTCATTACTGGCAAATTAAAAATATATCCAGACATGTCAGCGGGAGAAGAAATAGGTAGGCCTGAAACATCCTATCTGTCACTACCTATCTTCTGCTCTATGTACTCGTTACATCTGTGGTGACAGTGCATGAGCAAGAGCCGTGTCAGAAGAGTTAGGTCCCTCATGGCACATGCCTTAGAGTGTACAACATGTGAGGCTGCTATGTTTGAAACTCTCGGAGTGGCCGTTGATGCCTTACCAGCATTGACACCCGAGGCCCATGGCCTGAGAGTTATTTGGAACTGTATGCAAAACTAGCATTCGTGCCAGCATTCTTATGGAGAAGGGAGCCATAATTTTCTTTACATTTTTAGAGGGCCCTGTATGCAAACAGATTTAAAGGGCATTCTCTGAGGTGAGAAATGAGAGAAAAATCCTTCTGGGTGCTGTCAACATTCCACTCAAATGTTCACGATGAACTAACATTTTCTAATTTATTTGCTACATATCCTGCGCCTATGCTTCATCAGATTAAAGTGGAAAGTTCTATAATCATGTTTTGGGGGAATTTAAGCATTAAACAATCTACACAAATTGATTTTAAGTGTGTGTACAGGTGATAACTTAATAGGCTCCGTCTGTCCTATAAGGCAGGCTGCTCACCCATCACAGGGGTCCATTTGTTGGCATATTTAAGTCTTCTGTGAAATATATTATATCCAATAGTAAGATATTATCATTGAAATCCCCTGACATTTGAGTTGACACATCACTTAGAAGACATTTGCCTTCAATGAACTCATAAATTGGCTCCACAAGGCCTGTCACCCTGCCATGTCTGCAGACCTCTCTCTCATGGCAGCTCAAAAGTAATCAAGGCCAAAGATCAGTCCACTGGGTGATTTCTTTAATGTGCTACATTCTCTTGTAGCAAATGTGTTTCCCGTCCTGGAATGCTGACAGTCGCCTGTCTGCTGGGCAAACTCTTCCAGATGAAGGAATGAGGTCCCCTTCTACACTGTGGGGTCCACCCAGCAGGTTAGCTGTATCTGTCTGGAACACTTATACATTGGTAGGAACCC